GATGTTTCCAAATTTGTTAGGTTGTAGTCACATTGAAAGGAAAATTTAATAATTTTCAATTCATATTCTCTGTAATTCAATTAGAAAAATACTCACATATGAATGTATTTCCCTGTATTTATTTACCATTTCTTTTCCCTTCCTATAAATATAATAAAAATGCATGCCGTCGTAAGTTCGCTGAGCCTAAAGTTCCAAGCCCCAATTTCGTTGAAATTTCAACGGGAACCCGGTCCTTTTTTAATGATTATGTACGCATTTTTAATATCGAAAGATAAGAGTATATGCGGAATTTCTGAATTTTCCCCAAAAGAATAAGTAATAAAATTCATGGCCAGTCAAAAAATTTTAGGAGCATAATGGGTAAGTTGAATTCAAGTCTGAATCACACGAAAGTCGATCGTTTGCATCCCTATACTTAATGAATAATATTTATAACTTATATACTCTATTTTTAGGACTAAATACCTATTTATATGAAAATAATAAAATCTAAGCACCGTAACCATCCTGCCGGCTGGCATTTCAAAGATTTGGTTCTAACAAAACGGTGCCCAGTTATTAAACAAATGAACTTTACCAATTTAAATTTTTTTAAATTTTAATGTACTAAATTTTTCGTATGCAAAAGTTTCTATAAACTAGAATAGTATTAGTTACTAAAACTTCCAAGATTATTCCACTATTCCAAATAGACCAAAAGACCCATGTACAAAAAATACCACTTTTAGTACATTTATAAAAAATGTGGCAACTATAACTCGCGCACTAATACCACATCAAAGTGAGACTGTGTTGGTGTGCCCAGCATTGGTTTATATCAGAGGTGGGCACTACCACAAACAAGCGTTCGTTAGAAATGAGAGTGTGATAGTGTGCCTAATTAATTTTGCATGCTGCCGCGTTCTCATCGTTACGCTCTTGCTTGTATACGTACACGCGATGTTTACGCTCTTTGAGCGTGTGCTCGTTCTCTGCCGATGCCTGGTTTATATACACGGTGGAGGGAATACAGAAGGTGGCGCCGATCGCAACATCGCTAATCGCCTCTCAGTGAATTTGACAGAATCAGCTGTTTTGCTGACGTCACAGTCGAGATGACAGCAGTAGTGATGTGCTGAGTCAATACTTTTAAG